AGATGTGCCCGCAACCCTGGTACATGCCCTTGACCGGAATCGAACCTGGGACCCTTCAGTCCACAGGCCGACGCTCTATCCACTGAGCCAAACCGGTTTCGGCCAGAGTGGTGCATTCTTACGTTCAACACGTTAAGCGCCAAGCCTGTTCTGTCTTCCTTTCTGCTTCAGTCACCGGTGACTGACCTGGCGCTTAATGTGTTAAGGAGCCTGAGAGGTTAGACAACTGAACAATGATCTGGGGAGGTTTGCATCTCCTCTAACATAGATCACAGACCCTGAAATGGCCAGGGGTTCCTTAGAGTAGATGTAGGATCGGTATGTGGCTTTTATTTATTTTAATTAAAGTAAACTTAATTTTAGAGTAGTTTTAGTTTTACAGAAAAATTACAAAGTAGTAGAGAGTTCCCGTAATGCCCTCACCTAGCTTCTCCAATTGTTACCATCTTACATTACTATAATACATTGTCCTAACTAAGAAACCAACATTGGTACATTACTATTAACTAATTCCAGACTCTGTTTGAATTACACTAGCTTTTCCACTAATATTCTGTTTCTGTTCCAGGATCCCATTCAGGATTTTACATTACATCTAATTGTCATGTCTCTTTAGTCTCCTTTGGTCTGTGACAGTTTCTTAGTCTTTCCTTATTTTTCATGAGGATTTGAGAAATACTGGTTAGATATCCTATATAATAAAGAGCTAATATGCTAATTAGACTGAACAGCAGAATGACTGTCCGGACAACCTTCCAGATGAAGCCAGGGCTGCGAGGGGCTGTGAGGGCCAGCTGAGGCAGCCGGGGCTGTGAGGGCTGAGCCCCTGGCACGAATTTCGTGCATCAGGCCTCTAGTTTTATATAATGACCCTCAGTTTGGGATTTTCTGATTTGACTGGGGTTCTGGGTTTTTTTCTCCTGGTTAGACTGGGGTTCTGGGTTTTTAGGAAGAATGCCACAAAGTTAAAGTACCCTTCTCATTACATTGTCTGAAAGATACATGCAGTGCCCTGGTCAGAGAGCTCAGTTGGTTAGAGCATTGTCCCAATACTCCAGAGTTTTGGGTTTGGTCCCTGGTCATATAACAGGAGTCAACCAATGAATGCATAGATAAGTGGAGCAATAAAAATCAATGTTTGGCTTTCTCTAAGTCAATAAAAAAATATATATATATAATTTCTTTTAAAAGAAAAGAAAGGTATGTGCTAGCAACATGACATCACTGATGTGTCAACTTTGATCTCTTGGTCAAAGGAGTGTTTGCGGGGTTACTCCATTGTTCAGTTACTTTTTTTTCTTTCTTTTTTTTGAAGAATAGTTTATTGATTTTTAGAGTGAGAGGAAGGAGAAAAACATCGATGTGAGAGCGCGACATTGATCTGCTGCCTCCTCCACTGAGCTATGCTCTACCACTGAGCTATGCCTCTTGAGCTTTTTTCTTCTTTCTATACCATGTTTTTTGGAAGCAAGTCACTAAATGTGCCCTACTTTCAAGATGGGAAGGTTGTAAGATTAAATTGTATCTCCTGAAAGGTGTACTATACACATAAATTACTTGGGATTCTTCAGAAAGAAAGATTTGTTTCTTCTACCACATTTATTTATTTGTTAGTATGGACTCACACTTTGGGTTATAGTCCAATAATATGTTATTTATTTTGTTGCTGAAATTGTTCTAGCTTTGGCCACTGGGAGTTCTTTCAGATTGGCTCCTGTCCCTTGATCTGCCCCCATCCTTTTGAAAAAAATATTTTTATTGATTTTCAGAGAGGAAGGGAGAGGGAAAGAAAGATCCATTTGAGAACAAAACATCGATTGGCTTCCTGGATGGATGCTGAAACCTGGGCATGTGCCCTGACTGGGAATCGAACCGGCAACTCTGGTGCACAGGATGACGCCCAGCCAACTGAGCCACACTGGCCAGGGGCCCATCCTTTGGGTTTTTTGTTTGTTTGTTTGTTTGTTTTTTTTTAGCACATTTTGGCTCTACAAGATGTTCTAGCTCATCTTATATTTCCCTTGTCCCAACCCTAGAATAAGCCATTTCTCAAAAGAGCTCTGGTTTCTTTTTTTTTTTATGAAGGATGTTATTAGAAACCAAGATCTGGGCAATGAGTATGCTTGTTGTTACTGGGATGACGCTATATCTAGGACATCCAAGTAGACATAGCTAGGAAGTATATACATACCAACTTGTGCAAATACATGTCTATAATTTTATAATTTCTATATTCATGTTAATTTTTTTTTAATCCTCACCCAAGGATATTTTTCCCATTGATTTTTAGAGAGTGGAAGGGAGAGGGAGAGACGGAGAGAAACACCTTTATGAGAGAGACACATTGATTGCTTGCCTCCAGTATGCCCCAGACCAGGGCTAGGAGCCTGCAACCAAAGTACGTGCCCTTGACTGGAATCGAACTCCGGGCCCTTCAGTGTGCAGGCTGATGCTCTATCCATTGAGCCAAACCAGCTAGGGCCATGTTAATCTAAATATGATTTCATACTAATGCTCTCTAATTCAGTACCAAGTGGTTCAGTCTGGCCTTTCCCCTCTTGCTTCTGTAACTTCACTCTGAAACAGTGAGAAACCTATCTCCCACCATTTACCATCCATTTACTTATTAGTTTAACCCCAATATATGTGTAAAGCAGTTTTAGGATTTTTTAAAATTATATTTTTGTTGATTTCAGAGAGGAAGGGAGAGGGAGAGAGAGATAGAAACATCAATGATGAGATAGAATCACTGATCGGCTGCCTCCTGCACACCCCCTACTGGGGATGGAGCCCGCAACTGGGCATGTGCCCTGACTGGAATCAAACCTACGACCTCTTGGTTCATTGTTCGATGCTCAACCATTGAGCCACACCAGCTGGGCAGTTTTAGGATTTTTAACCCAGAACTCTGTGAGACAACTCGACCAAGTAGAATACAGTGTTTATGTATAGTTTATTTTGTCTTTAGCCTTATAGTATCTAGTCAGAACACTTTTCCAGTTACTTAGGTTAGTTCTTTTATCTCTCCACTGGCCTATGGCTTTTTGCAAATTTGTTGACCAAGTATTGTTTCAGGGCTGCTCTGGACAGATTCCCATGTCTGACCTTGGCCACATCCCCTGCATGTTTGCTTGGATATTGTGCTTTAAGGAGAAAGACAAATGTTAGGAGTATTAGGTTCCATATCTCCAGATAATGATGAAAAAGAAAGGTAGGTATTCTTCCAGAGGCAACAAATTATGCACACCAACTTGTGCACACCAAGATTTTTTTTCAGGCCCTGAAAATCCACAAAATGGAATTGATCAGTCCACAGTAGAAAATAATTCTGTGGCTAAATATGTATTGTGGAGTAATAGAAAATGTTCATAACATTTAAAAATATGTTTTTATTGATTTTTTTAGAGAGAAAGGAAGAGGGATAGAGAGAAAGAAACATCCATGAGAGAAGAACATCATTGATTGGCTGCCTCCTGCATGCCCCCCCCCTCACCCCCGGGGATCGAGCCCACAACCTGGGCATGTGCCCTGACCGGGAATCAAACTGGCAACCTCTTGGTTCCTGGGTAGACACTCAACTGCTGGGCATGATAATATTTATTAAGTGTACCTGACATTCCTTGTGCTGATTAGTTTACATACATTGTCCCTTTTATTGCTCACAATAATATTGTAACATGATCATTCCAGTTTTGTTTGTTTTTTTTAAAATATATTTTATTGATTTTTTACAGAGAGGAAGGGAGAGGGATAGTTAGAAACATCGATGAGAGAGAAACATCGATCAGCTGCCTCCTGCACACCCTGTACTGGGGATGTGCCTGCAACAAAGGTACATGCCCTTGACTGGAATCGAACCTGGGACCCTTCAGTCCGCAGGCCAACACTATCCACTAAGCCAAACCGGTCAGGGCTGTTGTTTTTTTAATGGATATTTTTCCATTGATTTTTAGGGAAAGTGGAAGAAAGAGAGGAAAGACAGAAACATCAATGTGAGAGAAACATTGATTGGTTGTTTCCTGTACGAGCCTTGACCAGGGCCCAGGCCGGGGAGGAGCCTGCAACCAAGTATGTGCCCTTGACCAGAATTGAACTCTGGAGCCTCTGGTCCTTAGGCCGATGCTCATTCCACTAAGCCAAACTGGCTAGGGCTGATCATTCCAGTTTTACACATGAGGAAACTGAGGCTTGGGGAGATCTAGTAACTTGTCTAGAGTTATATAGCTACTAATTAATAGCTCATATCTGCACATTAGTATTCTTAAAATCAGATTGCCTCTGAGATTGTTGTAAATAAGCACCTTTGGAAATTAACACTAAGTTCCACTTTGAAAGAGAGACAATATAGATCAGCGGTTGCCAACCGGTGGTCCGTGCACCACTGGTGGTCTGTGAGGTCCAAAAGGTTGGTGACTGCTGATATAGATGGTTAAGAACACAGATTTTGGCCCAGCCAGTGTGGCTTAATGGTTAAGCGTCAACCCATGAACCAAGAGGTCACTGGTTTGATTCCCTGTCAGGGCACATGCCCAGGTTGTGGGCTCGATCCCCAGTAGGGGGCATGCAGGAGGCAGCTGATCAATAATTCCCTCTCATCATTGATGTTTCTATTTCTCCCTTCTCTCTGAAATCAATAAAAACATTTTTAAAAAACAACAACAGATTTTGGAGTTATTTATTAACAGTACTGGATTTATCATTTATTAGAGTGCTCAGTTTATTCATTCGTAAAGTGGAGTATAAAGATAGTACCTATCTCATAGGGGTGTTAGGATTAACTTATACAAGCAGTGTTTAAGTTTTTCAATAGATGGTAGCTATTGTTATAAAATATCAATTTTAAAACTTGAGCTCTTTCATAATTTTCTAATTTATTGGAAGGCAGTTGTCATTAAATGGCCCACTCGGGAGTCTGCTCCATAGGACCAGGGAAAGAAAGTTCATAATAGTAATTCTTTTCCATTCAGTGATACAGGTGAGTGCCCGCCCCATGTACACTGTCCTGGGCCATTCCTGTCTTGAACATTACCTTAGAAACATACTGTGTCGGTATTTTGTACTAAAGTAGGAATCACTAGATTTATCTACTCCTTTGTGAGGGAATTGAATCCAAAAAAGAAAAATGATTAGTGGATCCCTTTGTTGTTACAAAAAGTGCTAACTCACATTTTGCTAATAATGGAAAATGAGGTGAAATTAACTTTCCTTTCTGTACCTTAGGGTGCTTTTGAGAGAAAGAAGTCTTATGATTGGTCTCAGTTCAATACCCTGTATCTCCGTGTCCGTGGAGATGGTCGGCCTTGGATGGTGAATATCAGGGAGGACACAGATATAATTCAGAAGAATAATCAGATGTACAGTTACTTCATGTTCACCCGTGGTGGGCCCTACTGGCAGGAGGTCAAGGTAACAGCCCAGGTCTTTACTGTACATCTTTTGAGATCATGGTTACATTGTAGTTTTTCTTATTAGTCCCTCTTGGAAGGTGTGGGAAGGGGAAGAAGGGAGAGGACCAAGGAGCAAGATTTACGCAATTGACTTTTTCTTTGATTAATATATATGTTAGCCTACTAACCAGGAAATATTTTTGATAAGGATATGGCCAGGTACATGCTAAGTCATGGGTACATCTCTGGTTTATGCCTAAGTAGACGTTTCTTTTAAAAAAATATTTTTATATGTTTTTATTGATTGAAGAGAGAGGGAGAGATAGAAACATCAATGATGAGAGAGACTCGACCAGCTGCCTCCTGCATGCCCTCTACTGGGGATCGATGGGCCCTGACTGGGAATGGAATAGTGACCTCCTGGTTCATGGGTCAATACTCAGCCACTGAGCCACACAGGCGGGGCAGATGTTTCTTTTTCTTTTTTTCTTTTTTTTAACAGATGTTTCTTTTTAAGTTTCTGCTCTATCACCTCTTCAGGGCAGCTCTACTAATATAGTGTCCCTAGCTTAGTAGAAAGGCTCCCTTAAGAGGAATAAATACTTCATCCTTTACAATCATCAAAATTTTTATTTCTTGGTAGTATAAGGCAGTCTTACTTTGTAAATGAGAAGCTTTGAGAAGGTAAACAATGTTAACCGGGAGGAAAATAAGTGGAAATTCAGGGAGGACTAAATCAAGTGTCCATTCCTGTCTTCTAAATCATGAAGGTTTTAAATCCATAAACTCAAAAGAAAGTATCCATTTTGTTCATACTTAAAACTAATGCTTATCCTGGATTCCTTTTTCCCTCACCCCCATCCAGTCTATTAGTAAATCCTGTCATATCTCCTTCCAGAATACACCCAGAGCCCGCCGTTTCTAGCCATCTCTTCCACTGTCATCGTCGTCCCGGCTTTGGGATCGCTTTGCAGCAGCTTCTTTATTGGTCTCCCTTTGTCCTCTTGCCCCCTTACAATCCTCTCTCCACACAGCAGCCAGAGTAATGAGCTTTCTAAAGCATAGCTCAGATCACATCTTTCACATGCTTAAAACCCTCCAAAAGTTTTTCCCTTACAATGAGAATAAAGTCCAGACTCCTTAACACGGCCCCCTGGGCCTCTGATATCAGACCCCTGTCTTCATTTTCAGTCTCCCCTCCTACCTCCACTCCTCCACACTGGTCCCTTTTCTGTGTGTCAAACTCAACAAGCTCATTTCTATCTGGGACCCTTTGTACTTTGTGGTGTATCTCCTGATACGCTCTTCCCCTCGTATCTTCCCCGGCTTCTTTCCTATCATTCACCTCTCAGCTTGAAAATTGCCTCACAGAGGCCTTCCTGTCCCTCTAGCTAGTGTTGCAGCCTCTAACCCAGTCACTTTCTTTTTTTTTTTTAATCCTCACCTGATGATATTTTTTCCATTGATTTTTAGAGAGAGTGGAAGGGAGGGAGGCCATGGGGGAGAGGGAGGGAGAGAGAGAAACATTGACATGAGATACATTGATTGGTTGCCTCCCACACATGCCCTGACGGGCTGGGGATTGAACCTGCAACTGAGATAGGTGCCCTTGACTGGGAATTGAATCCGAGATCCTTCCATCTGAGGGCCAATGCTCTACCCACTGAGCAACCAGCCAGGGCTAATCCAGTAACTTTTTAAAAAAATATATATTTTATTGATTTTTTTACAGAGAGGAAGGGAGAGGGATAGAGAGTTAGAAACATCGATGAGAGAGAAACATCGATCAGCTGCCTCCTGCACACTCCCTACTGGGGATGTGCCCGCAACCAAGGTACATGCCCTTGACCGGAATCGAACCTGGGACCCTTGAGTCTACAGACCGACGTTCTATCCACTGAGCCAAACTGGTCAGGGCAGTAACTTTTTTAAAAAAATATTTTTTTATTGATTTTAGAAAGGAAGGGAGAGATCGAGCCCACAACTCCAGCATGTGCCCTGACCGGAATTGAACCGTGACCTCCTGGTTCATAAGTCCATGCTCAATCACTGAGCCACACCAGCCAGGCGCTTTGTAGTTTATAAAAATACAAGCAAATAGGAATCTAATTTTCTCCCTTTTTAAACTGAAAAAATAAAAATTGCATAATTTGTGCATCTTCTGTTTATATTTTTAATATTTAGATCCTGAAGACCTTCCATATCACTACATGGAATATTTTTCATTCTTTTTGTGTGTTTTTTTTTGTATTTTGTTATGTGGATATCCCATAGTTGACTGAATGAGTCCTGTATTTATAGTCACTTGGGTTGTTTCCAATTGCTATAATGAATATTTTATCACAGTTTTTGAGACGTTTTAAAAATTAATTTTAAAAAACCTGTAGATTTGTCTATATCTTACTTTTTGACTAATATATTGTGAAGGTCTTCTCTCTTTTTTTTTTTTTTGCTATTAGGAAAAACTATATCTTTATGTATTTATCAGAGTTTATCTGAAATATAAATTCCTAAGTGTGAAATTGGTAGGTCAGTTATGACATTTAAAATTTTTTTAGTGCTGTTGGTTTTCTGTTGCTACATAAAAAAACTTCCATAAATTTAGCAGCTTCAAAAACACATTTATTAGCTCAGAGTTCTGTAGGTCATAAGTTGAGACAGTAGATCTGGGTTCAATGCTCAGGGCCCTATAAGGCTGTACTCAAGGTGTTAGCTGGGCTGTATTCCTTTCTAGAGGCTCTGGGCAAGAATTTTCCAAGCTCCTTCTGGTTGTTAGCTAATTCAGTTCCTGTGACTGCAGGGCTGCTGTCCTTCCTTTACTGGCTGTCAGTGAGGGGCCACTCTCCGCTCCTAGAAGCTGCCCGCACTCCTTGCCATGTAGCTGCCTCCATCTTCAAAGCCAGCAGTGAAGAATCCCCCCACCCCATTGAATCCCTTCATGCTTCTAATCTTTTACCAGTCAGTCCCTTTTATGGGTTCAAGTGATTTAGTCAGGCCTACAGAGAAGAAGCTATAAAAAAAGTCAACTGATTTAGGACCTTATTTCTGTAAAGTTCCTTCATAGCAATATTGAGATTAGTGTTCGAATACCTCAAAGAAGGTGTGTGTACACTAGAAGTTGGAAGTCTTGGGGGCCATCTTAGAATCCTGCCTACCACAATCGCCAGCTGCCCTCTAAGAGTTTTAATAATTTTCACTCCTAACAGTTTACAAGTGTGCCTGTTTCTCTTCACCCCCATTTTCTATTGGGTTATTTAATCATTTTCTTAGTTATATATCTGTGATCCAGATGACTAGCCACTTGTCATAACTGCATCTATGAAGTAATTTTATAATTAAGTTTAAACTATTATTCTTTTATCATTACAATTACATACAAATGCTTCAGTTACTTACATTTCAGCTATGAAGTAAATGGTTTTCTTTTTTCAGATTCCTTTCTCCAAATTTTTCTTCTCTAATCAAGGAAGAATCCGGGATGCCCAGTTCCAGCTTCTACTTGACAAGGTAACATTTTCCTTTCATTCAGAACTATATTCTCTTTAGTGAATCAGAACTCCGGTGAGGATGAATTCAGTCCATTTTGGAAGGCTGGCAAATAAAGATGGAAATTCCTACTCAAGGCCCCCCCTGTAATACCCAGACAGATGTTTACACAGATCTACCTATCCTTTGAGCCCAATCCCTATCCTGGAGAATTTCATCATGGTCTTCTCTTGAGCATGCCTACATTTTATTTTAGCTTTAAAATAAGAGAACAGTATTGAGTTCAGGAGAGCTTCAAGAGCCTCCATTAGACACCCATGTTGTCCTCACTTGCTTAAGTGGCACTACATTAAAGGAAGAGGAAAGGAAGTAGAGTGTGGAAAGAAAAGTAGCCCTGTATTTCCTCTTATAATTTGCTACAGCATATGAAAACTATGGTATACTTGCTAAGGGCTGATAGTGTAATATAAAGACTCAGCTATAGTAATCACCTCATGGAATTTTAAAACTCCAGGAACATCAGTATGTGATTTTGATAAATTTCTCTATTTTAAATTTAGATCTCCTCTATTGGATTCACCCTGGCTGATAAAGTGGATGGTCCATTCTTCCTGGAAATAGATTTTATTGGAGTTTTTGCTGATCCAGCCCACACAGAAGAATTTGCCTATGAAAATTCTCCAGTGCTTAACCCAAGACTTTTTAAATAGAGATCATGTAGTAGTGTAGTATCCACCATGCTGATACAGAGACAAAATAAAGTATTTCTTTAATGGCATCCAATCAGTGGATGGTATATATTCCCTAAGAGAAAGCTAAATGCTGCTCCTAAGAGGTACCATATAGAGGGAAACCAAGTTCTAAACTGTACCTTAACTCAGAGAATGCAGTTACTATATTGATGCAGAGATACTATATAAATAACTGTTTTTGGTTAGAACGATTTCTGATAGAGACAATTCCTGCATGGTTTCCAAAGCAAGGAGTCTTTGAGATGACTGTTGATAGCCTACTACCACTCTGTTCCTTATAGGTTTCTTCTGTTTTCTAATCCATCTTTGAGGAAGACTGCTGAAGAATATTAAGATAAAGGTGCTATTGAAGTCCCTGAGAAAAGACATACCTAGACCTGCTTAGTCTGTTCAGGCTGCTATAACAAATTACTATAGACCAGGTGGCTTAAACAACATACATTTACTTCTCACAGTTCTGAGGGCTGCGAAGTCCAAGATCAAAGTACTTGCATATCTGGTATCAGGTGAGTGTCCACTTCTTGGCTTATAGACAGCTGCCTTCTTGGCTGTATCCTCACATGGTCTCTTTCCCTTCTTTACAAAGACACTAATCCCAACACAAGGCCTCAATCCTCAAGACCTAATTGCCTCCAAAAGGTCCCACCTCCAAGCACCATAATGTTGGAAATTGGGGTTTCAACATATGAAAAGGCTAATAGCTGTGGCTAGCGGCATGGCCATGGCATACTCAGCCCCAGGGTGCCTTATGTGCCGTGCCAGCTCAGCCAGGTTCGGTGAGCCTGAGTAGGGTGGTGAAGGATTGAGAAAAGATAGACAAGAGACGAAAGCTGGGTCTCAGTGGGACGCTGTCCTCTCTGATGGAGAGCTAGTGACAGTGCCCCACCGAGACCCAGCTTTCTTCTCTTCTCTGTCTTTTCTCAATCCTTCACCGCCCCCACTCAGGCTCACCAAACCTGGCTGAGCTGGCATGGCACATAAGGCACCCTGGGGCTGAGTATGCCATGGCTGTGCCGGCTCCCCACAAATAGCTGTTCCATCATCTTGGCCTACAATCTATTTTGTGTATTTTCATGTAATTATCTTTTGTTTTCAATAGCTTTTATTGAGGTATAGTTTATATAACAAAGTTTATTTTTTAAAAAAATATATTTTTATTGATTTCAGAGAGGAGAAAGGGAGAGATGGAAACATCAATGATGAGAATCATTGACTGGCTGCCTCCTGCACACTCCCTACTGAGCACTGACCTGCAACCCGGACATGTGCCCTTCACTGGAATTGAACCTGGGACCCTTCAGTCTACAGGCCAAGGTTCTAATCACTGAGCCAAACCAGCTAGAGCAGTCTGTTTATATACTTTTTAATTCTTTTCTTTATACTTAAATACTCAAATTTTTTTCTTATTGATTTTGAGAGAGAGGAAAAAAACATCAATCTGTTGTTCTACTTATTTATGCATTCATTGGTTAACTCTTGTATGTGCTCTGACTGGAGATAGACCCTACAACCTTGGCATATGAGGAAGACGCTGTAACCAACTGAGCTATCTGGCCGGGGCCACAAAGTTTGCCTGTTTTAAATGTACAAATCAATGATTATTAGTATTTTAGAGAATTGTGCAGTCTTTACAACAAGCTAACTTTAGAAAATTTCCATCAGTCGAAAAAGAAACCTCAGTGCACCTTTGCAGTCACTCTCCAGCCCCTGGTCACTACTAATCTAATCTATTTTCTCAATAGGTTTATCTTCTTTGGATATTTCACTTAAATAGAATCACATCATGTATGATCTTTTGTGTCTGGCTTCTTTTCACTTAGCATAATGTCTTTGAGGTTCATCCATGTTGTAGCATGTTAAAAGTACTTCATTCCACCCTAGCTGGTTTTTCTCAGTGGATAGAGCATCGGCCTGCAGACTGAAGGGTCCCGGGTTCGATTCCAGTCAAGAGCACATTCCCCGGGTTGTGGGCTCGATCCCCAGTAGGGGGCATGCAGGAGGCAGCCGATCAATGATTCTTTCTCATTGATGTTTCCTTCCCTCTCCTTTCCTCTCTGAAATCAATAAAAATATATATTTTTTAAAAAAGTATTTCATTCCTTTTTAGTGCATAAGAATCTTTTAAAACCCATTCATCCATTGATGGACAGCTGCACTTTTTGGTTACTTTGAATAATATTGCTATAAATTTGTGTAGACATGTGTTTTCATTTTTCTTGGTGAAATACCTGGGTGTAGAATTGCTGGGTTATATGGTAGACATACATTTAAATTTTTAAAGAAATTGCTAAACTGTTTTTCAAGGTGGTGTTATAATTTTACTTTCTCAGCAGCAGTGAATTTGACAGTTACCACAAGGTTTCTTGATTGATCTGATATCTGCCTCTTGATAGCAAAATCTAAGTTTATTAAGTTCCCAGGAATATGTCCTGTTTGATGGGTTCGTATATGTGAAAATACAAAAGAAGGACATGGGCATTTCTTCTTGGGGTGGGAGTGGGTGGTCAGGAGAGGATGCATGAGGAGTACATCTTAGTTGGTCAACTAAATCTTGGAAGCCAATTACATTTACAAAGAATGAATCTACCCCTGAGAGAAAACACTTTATTTATGAAAATCTGAAGCAGTACAAAACTCAGAAGTTCCACTTAGGTGCAACAAACATGGATATGATGCTAAGAAACTCTAGTTTTTCCATAAGTTGAATAAAATTTAAGTTTGACAGCACAGTAATCCTTAAAGCAACAATCCTGAAATTTCAACATGGCCTTGTATATTGTTAAATAAGCAAGGCTAGAATGAGCTATAGTTTTTGTTTTTAAGAATATATACATTTGTAATTCCTTAACCAGTAAAGAAATTAAAGATAAAAAAAAGTATAGAGTGAGATGACAATTACAAGAAGTGAGTTGAACAAAAGGTGTGTAAGCTTGAAAAAAACCACGTGGGTAAAATTTTGATGCCATAACCAATCCATATGGCCCCTTGTTTTATTAAGATGACTAGATTCTTTGGAGGATAAAAAGGGGACTTCTCCCAGCTTACCCTATCCATTAGTCATTACTGTTCAATTTCTACTAAAGCTTGTGTTATAATAAGCTACCTTTAGGTAAATGCTCTTGCCTAGAAGAGGACTGCATTCTGTTAATATTAGAGCCAGGAGGGGGGAATTGACATTAAAAATCTAGGTCAAGAATCTATAGGATGGGAAAAAAAAGTATAGGATAGATCTCATTAAAATACTGAGTTGTACAGGGACTTAGGAACAAAGTTGAGAGCAGAAAAAGTTCTTTTGACTAAAGTAGGAAGGACAGTATAAGAATATTTACAAAAAAGGTTCAGAATAAAGGAATATTTACAGAATGTTAAACTATTAATCTGCAGCCATAATAAGGCCCCTTCGAGTTCCCAACACCTCTGCTTTCTTCTCCTTTCGTTGTTGCTCATGTTTCTTCCGTTGCTCCTCCCTAAGAGGGACAGGTACACATTAGGCTCTAGTGAAGCTCCACAACAGACCACTTGGAAGCACTTGTTAGACAATGTCCAAACGTAAAAGATGCCTAGCACGCTTGTGTAAAACACAGTTCTAGGCGTGCTGCAGTCTGACCTGGTGGTCTGTGATGAAAATCACTGCTGTGTTAAAGGTCTATAAATCCTAAAGTCAAGCACAGAACTGCAACCAGAAGGTACCCTGGTACCTGAACCCAACCCCTGTAGTTTTAATTGATAAATGTCTATTTCTGGAAGTCAAAGGTCAAGCTCAAAATTACACAGTCTAGTGAAAACATGGAACTAGGAACCACTGACTTAAACCACTATGTTTATATGAAAGGGATGGGGGGGGAGGGGGAGGGGAGAGAAATCCCAGGATCATGTTATAGTCATTAAAGGTTTTGGTGGCAGGTGGATGTAGGCAAGTCAAATGACAGGTAACTATCAGGAGGGTTTCATGCAGGGAGTCGACTCAACCAGGACCAGCTGCGGCCCAGGGCAAGCTCTGCCTTTAACCTGGTTTTCATACAGATGAAAGCCTCTAAGGACCATCCTGGGTTTTCCCCGTGTAGGGCCTTGAAGCCTAGTTTGCCTGGTTTCCCTGAAAGTAACAAATTTACATCTATCTGCATAACTAGGTGCCCTGGGCACTGGTATCTGGAGGGATATCAGGTGCACAGTTTGGGCAGACAGATCATGTAAAAGCAGTGCTCTGAATTGGAGTCCTCTTGTGAATGTCCTGTAGAGCAGTGATGGCGAACCTTTTGAGCTCGGCGTGTCAGCATTTTGAAAAACCCTAACTTAACTCTGGTGCCGTGTCACATAGAGAAATTTTTTGATATTTGCAACCATAGTAAAACAAAGATGTATATTTTTGATATTTATTTTATATATTTAAATGCCATTTAACAAAGAAAAATCAACCAAAAAAATGAGTTCGCGTGTCACCTCTGACACACGTGTCATAGGTTCGCCATCACTACTGTAGAGCTTTGGAAATAATGCAGATGCTTGGGCCCCACCTCAAACCTACTGAATTAGAATCCACAATTAGAACTTTTAGAAAGTTCTATATGTGATTCCACTTCTAGCCTCTTAGACACCACTTACTGAGACTCTCTATCCCTCAGAGGTTCTGCTTTTATATACAGTCTTTCAAAATGAAAAGACTTATAGAACTGGATAATGATGTGCTCACCTGGTCTGAAGACGAGGTTGTTTGTACGTTTTCTTGTGGAAGCTAACCCTGCTTACATGCTCATTCAGACACTTATTTTCTTTAGATTGTCCCCATGGTTTCAGTTTTCCTAGTTTAGGACAGAGACAAAGATTAATTAATGAAGACTTTTGTATTTATAGTCTTAGGTTTATTCATCTGTGGCTATTTGCTTGCTATCAACATTTTTACTTTGTTTTAATAGATATTTGCCAGTGTAAGTCTTTTATTAATTTCAATTTCATATTCCACAGATATACATTTCAATTTTTCTCTAAATAACGTGTTCTATTTTTAAAAAAATGTTTTTTATTTATT